GAGGGTTGCGATCTGTTGCCGGACACGGAAAAAAGACAAAAGACAAAAAAAAAAAAAAAAACATAAATGTGAAGATAAAAAGCCAACAAAGGGGAAGGGAACAAAGAATTTGAGCATTATAGGACAATGTCAAATGGTCTAAAGTACAATTAAAGTGCCTGAAGTAGAGGAGAGAATGCAGCAGAAGAAATATTTGAAGAGATCATGGTTGAGAACTTTCCAAAATTTATGCAAGACATCAGCCCAAAGATCCAACAGCTCATAAAGCCCCAAGCAGAGTAAAAAGAAAGAAAACCACGTTTAATGCATCATACTCAAACTGCTAAAAAAAAGATGAAGAGAAAATTGGAAAATCAGCCAGAGGAAAAAAGATCCATTACGTACAGTGCATGACAATGATAAGAATTACGGCCAACTTCTCATCAGAAACAATGAAGACAGAAGACAATGGAATGACATCCGTAATTTGAAAGAAAAAACAAAACCTGCCAGCCTAGACTTCTATATCCAGTGAAAATAGCCTTTAAAACTGAAGGCAAAATAAAGACATTTCAGGTGAACAAGAGCTGAGAGGATTTATCTCCAACAAATTTGTGCTAAAAAGAAATTCTTCAGGCTGAAAGAAAATATCATATGGACACTCAATGAATGAATGAAGATACTGAGAAAGGTAACTAGGAAAGAAAGTTCAGCTCAAAGCTATCTGTGTTCTAGGAAAATCAGAAGACTGAACAGGCAGTTACTCAAAGACACGGGAACTGTTTGGTCCTGGAAAAACAGTCTCCTGCCATCAAAGTTCCTGAATAGTCCCCCAAACCACAACTCCTCATCCAAGCAATCCTCTAGTGAACCCCAAAATGAAGAATCACTAGACTTGTGAACTACAAAATGAAGATCACGTGTGTGTGCACCAAGAGGCTGGTATTGAAATAAACTCTAGAACAAGAGTTTTAAAAAATGCAAGTAGGACTCCATTCTGTTCCCACAGAAATAAACACACACCTCTCATGGGTGCAACTGTTCAATTGCATGTGGCAACTGCATGAGGCACTCCAGACCAAAGTACCAATTCTGAGACCCATCAGCTGACTGTGACCTTTCATCATTACAATTTTACTGACATTTTAAAACTGATCGATTCTTTCTACAGAGATGGGAGCTTCATTTTATGTTTTAACAACACCTCCCAAGAATTACCTGACTTTAAACTATACTACAAAGCTATAATAACCAAAACAGCATGGTACTGGTATAAAAACAGAGACTCTGATCAATGGAATAGAATACAGCACCCTGAAATCAACCCACGCACTTACTGCCATTTGATCTTCGACAAAGGCATCAAGCCCATTCACTGGGGTCGGGACTCCCTCTTCAGCAAAGGGTGCTGGGATAACTGGATATCCATTTGCAGGAGATTGAAACTAGACCCACATCTCTCACCATGTACTAAAATCAACTCAAAATGGATCAAGGATTTAAATATACACCCCGAAACAATAAAACTTATTAAAGAAAACATAGGAGAAACCCTTCAGCAAATAGGGCTGGGCACAGACTTCATGAATATGACCCCAAAAGCACAGGCAACCAAAGGAAAAATAAACAAATGGGACTATATCAAACTAAAAAGCCTCTGCACAGCAAAAGAAACAATTAACAGAGCTAAAAGACAACCAACAGAGTGGGAGAAAATATTTGCAAAATACACATCCAACAAAGGACTAATATCCAGAATATATAAAGAACTCAAACAACTTTACAAGAAAAAAACAAGCAACCCAATCAAAAAATGGGCAAAAGAACTAAGTAAGCATTTCTCTAAAGAAGATATGCAAATGGCCAACAGTCATATGAAAAAATGCTCAACATCACTCAGCATCCAGGAAATGCAAATCAAAACCACACTGAGATACCATCTCACCCCAGTTAGGATGGCAAAAATCCAAAAGACACCGAAAGATAAATGCTGGCGTGGCTGCGGAGAAAAAGGAACTCTCTTACACTGTTGGTGGGAATGCACAATGGTGCAACCCCTATGGAAAATGGTTTGGAGGTTCCTCAAACAGCTGAAGATAGACCTACCATACGACCCAGCTATCCCACTCCTGGGAATATATCCAAAGGAATGGAAATCATCAAGTCGAAGGTACACCTGT